ACTTATGCTAAAGGGAGGGTAAACGGTATGAATAATAAAACCCTATAATTACGCAATGATTTTGTTTACAATAATTATGCGTAATTGACAATATTTATAGCGCCACCAACGTATCCATTCAGGTGGTGAAAATTCGAACTAAGAGAAGCGTAAAAAAATTACGAATGCATAAGTTTATTTATTAAGATACTAGCGACGCAGTGAACGGGACATTTATGTTGGTACGTTCGTCACTATGAAGCAACATAGATGTTATATTCACGTTAATAGAAACGTAAAATTTCTGAGTAATTCTATTAAATCTATTACAATATAAAATCTAACTTACAATAAGACTTAGAGTTTATATAAAGAGTGTATAGCAATAAGGAAGACATCAATAGCCTGCATGAATTACATCGTCAATATAGAAAATACAGTAAACCATCTTCTGTTTTCAATGCAGTTACTAATTTACACAGAGTCATAGGATTAAACAATTTAGGACATATTATTAGAAAAATTCTACGTCTGACAAGCAGTCTATTATATTACAACGATGCGATGATTCTACTTTCGCGACAATAAAAAACAAATTAAATTTTATAGCAGGAATTATAAGGACCATTTATTCTTGTAGCATGTTTCAATTGTTTTATTCTGAAGTGATAATGCTCGAAGCAAAAATATAATGAACGTGATTGTGACATTACATAAATATTAGATATAAAAAAATTGGACTTTAAATATCTCTATTTTTTTGGTACTAGGTATAGTCATGATAATCGTTTTTTAAATTAACAATATTTTATGCTAGTCCTTTTTTAATCGGTTTTTACTTTACAAAACATATTATGAAGACATCGAGCAGAGATATTCTATATTATCGACATTGATCAAATGCAAACACAATACATTTACGACAGAGATTATATGACTCCATTGAAATTTATTTTACTACGTTAGCTTTATTTATACATTATAAGTTTTACACACATAGGTATAATTATCTACATGATATACGCTTTAAGCTTTGCTAAACATGATATTATTTATAAATCAAATCTTCTATACAACGACATTCATTACAATTTTCTTCAACCTTTTCGGTTTCAGAAAACTTTGAGACACAATTAATTAATACAATTTAAATATTTATAATTACAAACTGAATGATATTATCCTCTCCATTTTGACAACATTTATAAAATTGTTTATAATTATTCACTCCTAATCATGATATGTTTCTGTTACACAATTGCTCCTAAACATTTTTCATTAATAAAATATTGCGTCGCACAACATGCCTCTTACGTGGTTAAATGCAAATGCTTTCACTAGAAGTGTGCTTTGAATTTATGTGAAAATTATGCTTGTACATTGGGCTTTGAAATGCGTGCTTATTTAATCATATTTTTGTTGGAAACCTCGTTTCTTTCATAACAAGACATGAGACTCGCTATTAATTTTCCTAGAATGAAGAATAGGTAAATTTTAACGATGAAATATCTCATCTTTCTTACTTCCATGAGGTGATCCGTCTGCTCATTTGCCCCCTATTCTATAAAAAAAAACTGCAACAATTACGCCTTTATGTGAGCTCTCCACATCCAATGAGGTAAATAGCTACTGAACATAAAAACGTAGTATGAGAAAATATATATGATATATAGATATGACATCGCTTAAGTATCGTTAAACAATTATATACCAACAAACGATTAATCGTTTTAAAATCGGTAGCTCAGAATACTGTCATCAAACATTCGAGTGTGCAATGATTGTTGGATCATTAGGCGTCGCGTCGTGTAACACAGTGCAGCCAGTGTGTGCAGGGACGGGCTAACACCACACGTCCCACAGCTTCAACCCGGCTTTTGTCTACTCTAACGCGGATTTCGCTACTGTGGGCACTATTAGATAGTAGTAGGCACTATACATACATGCATATAAGTCTTGGATAAGTCAGTCTCTTTTGTAATCAAGTATGAACCGAAAAGGAAGTTTAACGTATAGATTTGTATTACGATAGCAATATCATACTTTTTATTTGAAGCGGACAATGACAGATGTACCATGATACCTACGTCGCTTTTAGACTTGTTGAATCTAAAATTGATAATATTAATACCTTCTTTATTATATCTATGATTACTACCTATTATCTGTATTTTATAGCTTACTTTAGATACACGTTATTATTTTATTATATAGCGTGATTTTACCTAAGTAATTGAAATCACATGGCCAAAAAGTATCCAAGATAACCAAAAGTAGGTACGTATTAGACCTAACAACGGTTGAAGTTGAAGTATACTAATCGCTGTATAGTGCTAAGTATGTCAACACCATTGGGCACGACGCGTTCCAAAGTGCTTTCGCACGGCTTTGTCTTTGCTGGCACGGATTGTACCACAGTGCAAATATACTAGAAGTATATACTGTGTGGTGATTATTCTGAGGAACAATTTTGAAACGATATTTTTACTCCATTATACTGATAGGCAGATAACTACAGGTTCTATTGAGCTTTAAACGTGATTGTAATAATCTAGTTGCATAAAAGGTAAATAAGTAAGTGTCAAATCTATTCAGTTTTAACTTAAAATGACACCAAAACTAATCAGATCACAAATATAACATTTCTACTACACTTTCATGTCCTCTATAAACTCCGACGAGCGACACTGCCGTCTAAAATAGATGGAAGTTTGTGATAGTCCGACGGCCATGAGTTCATAATGAGTAGTTTATCACGATTATAAAATGAGCGCTTATTTAGCTTCAGCATAGAATTGATTATAAAGAATATTTTTTGTATATTATTATTCCACAGAGAGGTTTTGTTTATGCGACACATTTTTCACATATCATGTTACATAGCAAGCATCTTTAGGCGTTTACACACTGTCGTTTTTGAACGAGACGATAACGCACGCGTGGCGAATTTTAGATAATATTTATGTCGTTTATTAAACTTTATTCTGACTTATCGTTTTTGTTTTTCGCTCACGTAAATTTTATACTAGAAAAACGTTGTAGATATAGCTTATATCCAATTATTGTATTATCTCACCGTTCTCAAGAGAAATCTAAATACATACCTATATTATATAAGTCAGATTAATGTCTTAAAGACGACATATTATATTTTATGAATTCAAGAGTTATTTCAAACTAGATTCAAGCTTTGTGACTAAGTTAAAAAAGTTGAATCTCGAGTGACATTTTGAAATGTCTTAAGTTCGCTTTACAAGTTTCGTGCGTTATAACCTCAAAAAGTTTCAATGTGTAGGCCTCACGCACTTCAATTCATTTCACTTCATCGATATGTAATAAATCAATTGACATTTTCGCAATATGTGTAAAATTAAGTATCAAAATGATACACAAAAACGATCTTAATATTTTACATAGCCTACATAATTGAATTAGTTTATCGTTTATTAATTAAGGATAGAGTTGAAAAATTTAACGATTGTTAAACTGAAATTATAATACAGAAATTATATTTTTGTATTTCAGAGCAAAATACAGTTAACATCAATTTCATTTTGCCTAACATAAATATTTAATTAACACTACAAGCAGTACAGAAATATACCAAAACATTTTGAAATAATGACTTTGAATTTCTAAGTCACTTCTTATTTACAGTTCCTTACATAATATATGGGTACGTCTATATACGAGAATTCCACAAATTACTTAGTTAAGTAAAGAAAAGAAAATACAATCGCTCATTTTTGGATAGATATACATTCTACTGATATGCACAAGCCAATTTTAATTTTTTAAAGTCACATTTATACTCGTAATATGGTGACTTGTCTCATGTTCACTGTTGGCTTAGCCATTTACAATTATATTACATTACAAAATGGACATGGGCTCTCTAGCAATTGATAGGTGGATGTCAAATTGGGTCATTTACATATCTATCTTTCTAATTCAGTCTCATATTTGCGCATACATAAGTTAAAGGGGTAAATATACAAAGGATTAAAAGAAGCATTGCGAAGCTCATTTATAAATTAATAAAGTTAAAATATATCGAAAAGTGTCAGCCATTTTGTGAAATATATACGGATATATTGGTTCGGTTTTTATTGATTTTATTATAAACAAAAGTTGAAGCAGAGTATACTTGACTTTGACTTTTATTAGATCGGGTCTAAAGAAATATTGTTTTAACTTGCCTGTTTTCTATGATTTTAAACCTTATTTTTTCTTTGTATACTAGAATAAACCGTTTACAGAAATATGAATCTATATAATCCAAAGATTGTAAAAAGCACAGAATTTCTATTACTCATATTATTTTATTATTTCATACTTTAAAAGTCAGACCAAAGACTGTTAGTTTTATTCAACTTGTATTTATTTTATTTTAACTCTGCTTAAGTTATTTATCAGGCAACTGTTAAGTTACGAATATTGTAAAAGTCTGATTCACAACACAACAAATAAGCCCATTTGATTCTTTCTTGAGTCAAGTGATAATTATATTTTTCACTCAGAAACGACTGCTTATAAAGTTCATTTTGTTTTGATATGAGTTATTTTAACAAGATTATTATAAACAGGGTAAATTCAGAATTGCCTCATTCAAAGTTATTAGAACAGATTCAAATAGCGATTAAGCGAATTCAGTCGACTATTACCGCCAATTGAGTTGTTACTGAACTTTATTGTACGGAAAATTAAAATGTATTTGTTGGTCGATTTCACCATTTCATTTGAGTTGTTTTTGTGGGAGAATTGAAGCTGTTTAACCGACTTCTTTATACATGTATAGGTTCATTCATTTTACGTCTTTTTGTTTGAATTGATCATTAAGTTATAGTGTTAAGACCGGTTTAAAGGTAACAATCAATTTTTTAAGTTTTGTATTTTATTAAGTTATTACTGTTGCACATTACATTTTGCAACAATAGGCATGTGTTTTAAAATATTATGGCTTGTTCTTAAATCGTTATAAAAGCTAAAAGAAAAATAATAAACAAAATCACTATTCTTGATATTCTTACAACGTTACAGCAATTAAAAATACATTAATATCGACATGTTCCTTCATTATAACACCTGTCAAATTGTAACGTACGGAACAAGTTATTAGAGGCACGCAATCAAACGTCATGTTGTCGTATAAAAATTTGAAATTAATTTCTTAATGGAGGAATTTAATCCAAGAAAATTTATAGTTACAGGTTTTCAATTGTATCAATAATGAGAATATAATTATGTATGTACTTTGGAAAGTAATAATATTATTTTGGCTTTATGTTCACATTTTCTTGTAAATACAAAGATTTTCTTCTCACGTCATTTATAAAGAAAATAAATGAGGTAACTGAAATCATACAACTTCAGCAATTAGCACCACAGTCAATTCACTTTTCACAAACAATTCTGTACCCAGTTACCGTACTATACCTTACTAAGCTCATAAAATACGTACTAGTAACATTCGTTTGTAATGTTCATTAGAAATGGGGCGATACAAATATCAAACATCAAGAATGATGTGCATGCGAGTAAAGGCTTCCACATTATTATTGCTCGGCGGGTTTTAATGCAGCACAATCTGTGGCGAATTGAAGCCATTTGATACGACCACCCGTTTGCGCGACCTGCCCTCGCAATAATATGCCTTTATGAAACATTTACTGCGAACCATGAACCTTAAATTACATGAGGACAAATTTGACAGATGTTATGTTTTACAATTTACGAGTTTAGTTATAAATATGGCACAAAAATATCGCTAAAACAACTAATAAATGCCCTACGTCACATCGAGCCGATAAATTAAATTGCGAACTAACGATTTTGACAGGCAGCTGAGTTGGCGCCGGTTCGATGCGAACCACGTTGACTGAAAAAGAAGAAACGTTTCAAAAAAATGTGGTGCGATTTTTAAGCGCTGGAAACGAGGGTAATTTATCCAGGATGAAATTTGGCTACACATGTCCCGTGATTTAATTTTAAGGGCGCTATAATTACTGTATTTCGTCAGTTAAAATTGGGAATGTCTGTTTTGCATGGTTTTATAATTACCTATATATCAATATAAATGTAACGATACATCTCTTCTAACACAATACCTTCTCTGAACTGTGATGTATCGACATGCCCCGGCGACGTATTTAATTTGAATTTGTCACACGTGATCGGGTCTTGATTACGTCACGAATTAGGAGTGATGTTTAATGATTAACGCTCACCCTTGTTTTATTTCCCAAACGGTTTTCATACTCTTTTTGGACATTCTATTTTTAAAAGAATTTCTTTTTTATTGCAGAGATTGCCACAATAAAAGAGCAAAAAGTACTTATCCCAAAACGCTGGTGTGTTTGCATTAATTAAAAATATGCAAACAACGTAAGTTTAAAATTAGAATCCTTTAAAATTCGGTTCTAGCTTCAGAACTTTTTTACAAAGCTATGTTTGAAATTAAAATATGCTCCGGACTGCTTCAACGTTTGGTAGGGAATAAATACTTTTGCTTTCAAATAAATTAAAAATTATGTTTCATATTGAAGCGACTTCATTTAAGTAATTAATTGCACAATTTTGGACTGATACCCAGCCAAAAAGAACCATTGGGTAATCTAATCATTTAATATTCAAAATTATACCTTTCACCTGTAATATTAAGACATGTTTTTAAAAACCCAGAGTTCCAAAGACAGAGCCAAAATTCAATAATTAATTTAACATACCTGTCACAGTACTATTCTGTTTATCAGCAAATCCTTCACCCTCGCTTGCGTAGCTGGGTATGGTGCTTAGACAGGTGATCTCCACAGTCCGGTTGGGGAATAGTTGCAGGCTGGGCAATGGAAAGTGCAGTGAGGTGTTCGTCACAGATAACGGTATTCCGTGGTGATGACGATGGACCTTCATGGTTCCGTACGGGGTTGTTAGACTTTCGTCAACCTGTTAAGGAAAATAAAAGATTGAGTAGGTAAACTTTTCCTTCATTCGTGGTAGGGATGACTCTCAATGCCTATTATTCCATGGTCTTAGATATGTTCGCACCGAGAATATTTTTTAAGTTTCTACCTAAGTAATTGTTCGAATACTCAAAACAACGAGTCGTAGTTGATAACAAATAAATTCACTTTATAATTAAGTATTTACAATTACCTAAAGAGTACTGAAACACATTCTAGAATGTTCTAAAATGTTATCTACAAATAAAAACAAGACCTTTAACCAGACCTTTGATCTTGAGTAAATAAATAAGTTCATGAAAATAGACTTAATTTATTCAACAAGCTGAAACAATTTACTTCAGTATTTCTATAAATACAAAGTACAAATGAGGTACACCTACGCTTTCTCTTAGTAGTTATTATAGTATTTGAAACTGTAATTAATTTACAAATAGGTTTATTTTTGCTTGAATTATTTTTGATCGATAAACCGTTTATGTTTAGATACTAAAAATACAAAAGTTTAATATTTTGAGTTTAGGCTGCGTACAGACCAATAGCAAAACTTATGCTGTACATGCTGCAGACTTTTTAAAATTATTAATACTCTGATAACTGAATCATTAAAAAAAACAGTACCTCTAAAACATAAAAAGAAAACAAAGGATTGTTTTAATCGATGAGCTGTTCTTTAAAACCAACAGAGATGAGATTGACAAAATTAGTTATGAAGTCACTCATTTCAGGTTCTCGTACAAATGTACCGCAAGAAACACGGGTAATAAGAAGCCTGAATTACCTAGGGGATCGTCGAAGTCAGATGGAAGTTGAATTTGATAAAAGCCTTACGGGCGAACCTAATAAGATTACGAAAGTACCAGGATGGAGAAAGAAAATGCCAGAACATTCGATTGGTCGAAAGCGCGATTGATGACCCGGTGGTTTTAGCTTCAATAATCGAGTAACATACATATAAGCAGGTTTTTGTAGAAAGTGGGCGATACGTATAACAAAATATAATCTTTCATGATTATGACACGAGAAATGACGGTTATATTATGCCACAGTTAGAAACTCACTAAAACGCAATAAAAACTATTTTATCGACCTCCAATTCAATCACATAAATTCTGACTATATGTGGAACAATTTGCAGCAATACCCAAACAATTTCTTAAATACTAAAACTAAATGAAGTAGAAAATACTACATTGTAAGTTAATATCTTTCGGAAACGGTCAACCTCAAATTTAGCCGTTCTTGGTGTGGCTAAGCGTTTCCTTTAGCCACAAACCAAGGTTAATTTTACCAAACACGCGATACCCTTTAGTTTCTGTATCGCGTAGCGTAGGTACATAAATCCAAGTCATTATTGATGTTTCTTCCAATTTATGTTAAGTTGTATTGTTTTAGTAAGTAACAAATAAGGAATTTTGGTTTTAAATATTTAATTATTGCTTGAGTGTAAACTTTCGGCTTTTTAAAGGCCCAGATTAGGACGAAACGAAACTGTAAAAAAGTCTTCTTTGTTTCCACTTTTCAGCATTTTTGTCGTCTGCTCTAAAATTGGTCTATTCACATTTAAGTAATGAACTCCTTGAAACATCTGTGAATGTAGATAACCTAATATAATAAGCAAGTCCCTCAATATTTTGAAACTTGTATGGAATTACCCGAGTCAAATGAAGCACGTATTGTATTACCCTTTATTGCGTGGATGTAATACAACGCGGAAAAATGGGATTTTACTTATACGACACCCAATTTTTCAACATTATGTTACAGTATTTTTTGTGAACATTAGGTGTGTTAGCTATTATTGTCATTAATGTTAATGCTGCATTAAAGTTGTGGAAATTATGAAGTTTTTAATTTGGTCCCTGTGTATAGAAAAAAATAGGCACCTCTAATTTTTTCTGTGGTCTTAAAATTCGATAATAACATAAACTAATGATTCTGGGCCCCCGAAACTTGGTATAATTTTTACAATTCGTTTTAACAAATTTTTGCAAAAAACAAACAAACAACGTGCGTGTAAAACCAGGAGCTATTTCTTAGAATATGATTATCATAGAATATATTATAAGTGTGGGAGAGCCATGCTTCGGCACGAATGGGCCGGCTCGACCGGAGTGATACCACGGCCTCACAGAAAACCGACGTGAAGCAACGATTGCGTTGTGTTTCGTCGTGTGGGTGAGGTAACCGGAGGCCCAATTACTCTCCCCTTCCCCAATCTCCCCAATTCCTGAATCCAACGATCCTTAAACTCCTAATCCCCAAAAGGCCGGTAACGCACTTGTACCGCCTCTGGTGTTCCAGGTGTCCATGGGCGACGCCGATTGCTTACCATCAGGTGATCCGTCTGCTCGTTTACCGGCTTATGCCATAAAAAAATCATCTTTTAGTTAGCTAAAAGATAATTCATTTCTAATACATTTCTACATTAAATCACATTTCTCCATCATACAGATGGAATAGAACTATGAATATTCCATAACGCGTTAATTAAAACTACTTTAAGCAACTACTACGTAGTATTATGCCATGAAACTTCTGTAGATTTGAATGAAAATGGCTGATTAGTATTCAAAAATTCGTATCATACCTGTACAGAATGATCACATGAATATTTATGAAGTCAAACTGCGAATTCAATAGAGATATTTCGATGAATGATTTTGAATTTCATTGTCGATTTGATAAAAGTTTACAGATGGTGGCTCTGATTTGTTATTGAGTTAAAGGGTGAATTTCATTCAGAAAATTATTTGTATTTGTGTTTTGGTATAATGATTAAATTATCTCACACATAATTTTCCATTTTCTACGGATGTGCTTAGGAAATACATGTAGTACATACAGCAGACCTACTACCTGATATCCTTTTAATATATATGATCTCTAACCCTTCTGCAAAGCACGAAGACTATGATAAACTTTTTAGATGATGGTCATAGTTTCACGGATTACTGTTTTTAATGACTGCAATTTTGAACAAAATAATATTAAAAGTATTTTCGTATCAAAAGCTTGTATTTTAGTATGAAGAATGAGAAATGAGCTTGCTATCGTAGTAGAAAGGTGATTTTAGTCGGAACGTAGCTACTAAGTATTAGTGTTGCAACGTTCTCCTGGGAAGCTAAAATGACGTCATCAGTGAAACGTATGATAGCGATATTATGTTCATGAACATGGCAAAGCGATGTAGAATAAATAGGTTTCAGTATGGATAACAGAGAATAGTTAGATGTTTTTTTTTATAAATAAATTTTATGCATCTAGTCATTATAATAACGATCAAAAGTAATAATAATTATTTGATATGATTTAATTTAAAAAAGAAAAGAGATTTATCTAAGAGAGATTTTTTTAAAGAAAAAAAAAAAAAATTTGTTTCAAAATGCAATAAATGATATTCTATGAATTTTGTACATTTGCTGGCTTTTTTCATATGCGGGCAAATGTTATGTAACATTGTGTCACTCATGGGAAAATTAACGCTATTTAGTACCATAAAATATTACAATGTTTCATGTAAGTATATTGTATATCTCTCAAACACTATTAGGTACAATTAATTCTATCAAATGTATACCATACATAACAAAAATATCTCACACAATAAAAGTGAACTTAACAAAAGACAGAATTACAGCTCTAGTTTTGGAAAGTCCACTTAATACTGACTAAATATTCTAGTAACTTTTCAACGGAGTGTCGACTTGTCGACAGGGCACGAAATGTTCCATTAGACTGTCAATGAGTGACCTCTAACACTGAACTGAGCCGTCAACTGGATGTTGGACGTTATGACTGAACCAAAGCGCACACGTTATAGCCAGCAATAAATGTCAATTCATGAAGTGTGGACGATGCTTTAGTGGGATTAGGATTATAGGATGTGACATTGTGCTTTGCATTGAAAACCCGGCTTTACAAAGGAATGAGTTTGTTGTTATTCACTATATTATATGTTTATGGATATGGCTTAAGCTAGATGGTATAATTATATGTAAATGAATCTCCCGATTGATTTCGATCATGGTGGTGAATCTAATTAGTCTAGCTCACTGCGCATAATTACAAAATTCTCAGAACATGTTACATTTTCACTATGATTGAGTTGATAGTAGATTTTTACTTTACATATTACGTAAGTGGTTTCCAAAAATAGGTTAGTCTGTTACACGTTAGTTTATTTTTCCCTTTTCGGCGCACTATCACTAACTTTAACGTTGTATTTTTAGGAGCTCCGACTCTGCTCGTGGTTGCACAGTCAATATACAGCGACATGAAACCAGTTGAAATCACTTACTCATTGGGACAGTACGATGCGTAATGTTTGGACTTTCTGTTCTGTTTGATACTGGACTTTCTTATTTCACTAAGTTCACTGGGTTCATGAAAATTCTTTGAAAATTTAAAATGCAGTACTTATTTAATTCGATGTGAATCACATCTAAGATCCTTTGTGCATCAGTAATGCATACGACCAATGGATCACCGAGAGCAGTTTACCTAACCTTACCCAAGTCAACTAAAAGGAGTTTTCGTAAATTTATTTTGCTAAGACTACCTTTTGAAACAAAGTGACAGTGGGTCTTTTACTTATTTCTTTAACTGGGATCAGAAACTTACCTTGTTATTATTTATAAACCAGGTGAGGTGCGGGGCGGGGTGAGCTGGGCCACTCTGACATGTCGCCTCCAGTTGGTCGCTCGAAGATAACTTTTTGTGCTTTATTTTTATCTTTGGACGGTTTTTCTGACGAACTGAAAAATATATCCAGTATTAGATTATTACTGTTAAAAGTGATTCCTGTTTATGACAGGTCAGGTCTAATGTAGGTGTATGTTAAGTTTGTAACAAAAATAAAGTGTTGATCGTATCCCAATGACATGTTACCTTTTTTCTAAGACTAAGGACGTTGTTTAGGAATTTGGAAGGTCATTGACATTACATAAATGTATGTCGTAAACAAGATTTGATTTTCTTCAAGATGTATTGTATATTTCTTGGAAAGGCACATCTTCAGTAAATTACTTGATACACTGATTCGTAGAATTTGAACAAATTCCACTTATTTTTTCAAAAAGTGACTTGAATCCCTATATTTTTATTAATTTTATCATTATGTCTTCTGTGAAATTATTAACTAATTTACTTGTTCGGATTACTCAGGAACTGTCCAGTTAGCACTATGCTCACTGCGTGAGTGGCTTCACCTCGTAGGACAGTAACTTGAGTAAGCCATACAAACTAATAATATTGATATTATTAAATAACTAAACAAACTCACCAATGACAGTCAGTTCATGTATCTTGGACACTTTGGAGTAGAGAGGAGTTTCAAGAGCGATTTCGCAGGCGTATGGACCTGATGCTGAGAAGTCCAACCTCTCCAGCGTGATTGACGTTGGAGACAGGTTTATGAGCTGAGAACAAAAATATCTGATTAGTATTTATGTAATTGAAGATAGTCAGTATGTTCTAAAAAAGTTATTCCAAGTTCTGACCTGAATAAAATTATTTTAATTATTATCAATCATAAACACAAGTACCTATCATTTTCATTGTCATGTAATAAATTCAGCTTATTCAAAAATACAAGACAGTAAAATTAGCTTTATAAACACTAAAAAGACTATAATTGTGTATGTCTAGACAGCTCAAGACGAACAAAAAAAAATAGGTTCTAGTTAAGTCTTTTTAAGGAGCTTTACTCGAGTATCTTTCATAAGACATTTTTTACTCCCTAACAAGGTAAGCGAAGATGTCTATGGGGATTATAAAAATAAAAAACATTTAACAATTTCAGATGTTAGAACTTGGAAATTATCTCATTTCATGTGACTATAGAATTGTAGAGCTATTCGACAGTTCTATTATGCTTACATCTACAATAAACGTTACAACAATATGAATCACAAAGCTGTCATAAAGGTACTTAGACCGTCTCTTGCATCACCTAGACCATGTGTGATATTACATAATACTACAATTAACAACAGCTATAATAAATAAACAAGTTTCTGTATATTGTTTATTCCACTTGCAGCATTTTAAAGCGTTTGTGGTCGACCCGAGAGAAAGGCCGCTAAGGGTCCCCCAAACTCGGAGAAAATAATATTTACGCTAGTTCAGCTAACGAGAAATGTACCGTAAATTGTTTGTTTATGTTGATTTATTTATATTTATTGTTTTGTGGTGTTCCAGCCATTGTTTCCTGGAGTTTTGTTCAGGATTCAAGGATAAACTATGGATTTATAAGGTTTATTTATGACTCATAAAATCCGTGGAAGAGTCAGGATAGATATTAATTTTAACTATTTCTATTTATAAGATACCTTGTTCCTTTTATTTTTTGTTTCGTGATGTCATAACTAAGATTGTTTTGTTATTTTTTTACCGTTAATAGCCAGTAATGAAGTGTCATCAAGAAACTATATCAAGATTACTGGTACTGGTATGGTTGTATATACGGGTATGGCTGAGAATTACTAAGAGACACTGTCCAAGTTGCGCCATTTGACGAAAACATGCATCATCCTTCTCAAACAATAGGCCAACAATATTTGTAGGCCACAAATGATAATTGATTATATTTGCTTAGAAATAATTAACACGTTAACCGCCGCGTAGGTCACCGGTGACCTACGTTAGTGGAGGATTTGCCTTCAGCAGTTTTTTGTCGGCAATCAAAGGCTTAAAAATGTTCACGAAGTGGCAACGTTAAACCCGTTTTGGTCTGTGTTCACGTTTGTGACGGAAGCATGCATTCGTCAAATGACACAATGTGGACAGATTTATTTTCAAATCCAGTGGATTTGCAAATAGGAAGTAATCCAAGAAATAGGTAAAGCAAAATACAAAATACTCTACAATATTCGATGAATACTACATCAACTTAGAAAACAATAAACAGTTCTTTACGACTTATCTATTTACTTACGCTTGTACTACAATTTTCGACAATAATATCGATAGCTCAAAGACATATCAATAAGAGAATATATTTTGCCAAGTTTTCTTGATATTCTCTTATTATTTATGAAGTAACAGGATGAAGGGTATCAAGTGACACTTTCAGAAGAGAAATACGCGAATAAGTTTGTGAAGTTATTTGTTCTTGGATAAGTTTCACGCACTTTGATGCTTGATGAATAGGAAAATAAATTGATAGTTCCGTATTATTACTAAAAAGAAAGAAAGGAAAAATATATATGCTTTATACAGTTATTGTACTGATTATTGAGACACCACTGACAATCGGTGAAGGTAAACACCGTGAGGAAACCTAGGCTTATAATTTCTAATTATAAGTTTGAAATCGCCTACCCGCATTGAGCCAGCGCGCGCAGCGCGGTAATTAATGCTCAAACCTTCTCCGTATGAGGATTTTTTTAAGGAGGGAAAATCATCGAATGACTGCTCCCGCCTGGGCGAGGCGGGAGGGAGTGTCACTGACTCTTACTGACTAAAAACCACCCCGTTCCTTCTCCTGCACGTCGAGCCGGAGCCCCGGTTACCCGTTAGGTTCTCCGCGACTCCGTGTGAGGATAGGACTTTACTCAGCAGTGGTACTTACAGGCTGTTGGTCAATGTGATAGTACCTAATGGGGCTAACCTTATTTTGCTCACCAGATAATGCAAATGTAGAAAGGGATTGTTCGTCCAATCACAGCAATTGTCAAATATTGAACGTCCAATGGTATGGACACAAGCTAAATTTCCTATTGGATGAAAAACGAGGTGAAACGACACTGGCGAGCAAGAATACTGTAGGCCCCATTATTTGTTTTCGCTGAAATTCCATAGAAGTTTTTGTGAAGTTCTAATAGTTCACACTTTTCACCATATTTATGTGACTTACTAATCTCATTATAATTGTCTATAAATAAATGACCGTATGTCATACTATATAATGCCTTTGACCACTCGACCATTTGATTCAAATATATGACTTGTATAACGAATTCCTTTATTGTATCACGTTTCCGTCTCGTTGTAATCCCTTGGGTTGTTATAGGGAATGAGTCCGGGATGTTATTAAAAAACACAATCCAGACCCTTATTGAAATGTATATCCGTGACTGGTGTAGATTGCTTCCTTCCTTCCTTTTTATTCAGAATTGATTTAGACTCCTACTCAAGATAATATAAGATCTGAGTCAATAAAGAATTAATTAAATAGATTTTTTTATTTATTACTACAAGTATTTATTTGCGGTGCTGCATATCGCATGCTGAAAATTCATTCCTACAGCGGAATAAAATCTAAATATTTTCCACGTTGTTCGCGTCAATAGAGTTGTTTTCTTCGTGAAAAATAAATCAAAACGTACCTACTTATATTGTTCAAATAATTTTAAATTCCTTATTCACACGACAACACAAAACACAACGCAAGCATTTTTTAAATTTATGTATACTAAACTACGCTTGTGCTAATAATGCATCCACTGTAAAATCAAACAAGCAAAAACAATATAATTTTTATTCAAATGCAACTAGAGAAACAGCTTATTATACAGTTCTATTATGTATACTGTTCACAGTTTCTGAATATCGGCCTCTAAATGCACTGCATACTTATTGTTAGGAGATCAGATTTGCTGCATGTTCAACATATTTGAAATTATAACGCACTGTTTCTGTCTATTCATGGGAATATCAATTATTTTTCCTTGTATTATTTATGTGTAGAACTTCGATAATATATTATGGAGTACTTATTATGATTAAAAATAAGATTTATGTCAATGTGATCAAAGAATTCATGTTCTAATCCTGTTTCGCGTACTAGATATACTTAGTTGGGTCAGATCAATGTGCATCGAAGAGAAACCATTGCAAAGAAAAAATGTCACAACTAAATTTTTCCCATAATGTAGCTCTATTGTCTTCCAGTTTGCTTATGTATTAGTTGACCAACAAATTTATTCAAAAACCTTACTTATAACCCACAAACCGGCTAACCTAGTGCAAACAATAGCACTCGAATTACCGACTGACAGCATCGGATTTCCCGTGTGTCTGCATATTGTTGAAACAGCAATGTAGTTACTCCTACGTGATTTTCATTCCATGTTATAACAATAATACATCGCTAGTTCCACAGGGTATATATTTGCAACATACTTCGGGCAAGACGGTCTTATTGTGTTTGTAGATAAATATGATCTACTACATACGAGGGTTATTCAATTTGTATTCCTACAATACAATGCTACTGCATTCGAACACACTAATTTAGTACGTTCTGTGCACGTGATTTTATATATACCCAGCATTGTTTGCTCAATTTGATTGGCTCTTGTATTACAATTGTATATTCAAGTCCAATGGCTTGGATATTGTTTATTTTTTCAATTTACTGGACTGCTGGGTTTCGGAGATGAGCAACAGTGTTTAATTCGTCAAAATAAAAAGGAACTTCCTTTATGATGCGTCTTTCGATTTGAGTGTATGTTATAGTGAGAAATTATCATTATGTAGGTATTTACTTCAAACGTGGGAGCAAAAAAAATTGATTGCTCAGAAACTTGTCTGATATATGAACTGAATCCTTGACATGATATGTGTACCTACCAGTCATCTAGCCAGTGCTTTATCCATACAGCAACAGTCCTATTTTACGTCAATATATCGTCGTCTATTTTTATTACAGGTACCTAAACAAAAAAAATGACCAGTTACTATTTGTAACATTTATAGTCCTTTTACCTTTTTAGGACCAAAGGAGTTCTAATTACAATAATTTCTTTCAGGCCTTTGTACCTACCTAATTAAAGTTCGGATCAATAGGTTAGTGCCCTACCCAACGTTGTAGGGTTTAATTGTTAAAGTCTGGCTAACTAAACTAAGTAAAGTAAGTTATCTAGTAAACCATTATTGGGACTATTAAATTACCGCCTCCAATTAGAACTTATTATAAACAAAATGGTAATAGAAATTTAACTATTTGACTAAATTTTACTGGTTTATATCTATGTGGATATAAAGGCTATTATTGAAAGGTTTTTGGTTCGATTTTCATTTAAACAAAGCGAGAAGATAACGTAGACTTTGTATAGGTCTAATTTAAGATTGTATCCGAGTGTGTGGCAATTAAGTCGCTTCATATTAGATGGAGTCAGCAAAATTAAAATGGGCAAGCATCCAAATCCATCTCTCACGAAATGAAACCTTAAATAATGATTTTGTTCAGCGACTTTTACCTACACTACTAAGTTATCAGCTATAAAGCACAGTCGTTAGTAGCTCATCTTACTCCAATCCAAATATCAGACATTGTCATTAAATTTTCGACTTCACATCAAAACAATAAAGTAGAAAATCCAATAAAAGTCTTCAGAGAGGAGTACAAACAGACAACAAAGTGGTAATTAAAGTTGACTTACACTGATCTCAGCGCCGGTGACGTTATAAAGTTCGAAGGGAGGATCCCTCCCTCTGACGAACTTCATGATGCGTTGACCGTTCTTGAAGAACACCACCTGCAAGGAACGTTACCGAAGTTTAGCTTTCATTTATTTACTTTTCACTTAAAGTGGAAGTTATTTTCTTAGGTCCTTTGTGAAATGTGAGTATTATTCTCGTCATAGTAATATTTGAGTTTGGTTGCTGTTGCAATGTTTTTGAGGGGGTGAAATAATGCAATGATATCTCCTGCCTCGGGTGAGGAGAGAGAGTGTTATACTCTTACTGATTGAGGTCTGCTGGAGCCGAAGCCTTGGTAACCCTATAGGTTGTCCGCAGCTCCCTGAGGTGCACATAGGCAATGTAACACGTAACTCATTTTGCGCTACTTCATTGTTTCATCCTCTTTAGATTTTGTCAGTACGTTTTTGTCGACGAACAGGATTAACGTTCATAATATTATCTACTGTTCGGTTTTTTAAAATAGGTTATGTATTTCCGCATATCAAAAGATCGATAAAGACTTAAACCACAGGTCTATCAAAACCAACCACAAAGGAAGGACAGCATTATTTATTCAGGCACCACCAGACTGTGGGGACTAAACAATCAAAGCACGACCATTCACGTCTCAGTTTGTATGTTTTTAATCAATATCCCGAAGAGAATGGGCACTGGGATACCCTCGTAAAACTGGATCGTATTAATTCCAAGAACTTCGGTCTCTCGGCTAATAACAATCGATTGCAGTACGTCTCTATGTGCGTAGTACATGCGAATTTCCTCATTAGTGCGTTAGGAATAATGAAGTTTATCGTGTGCTGTGAATTTGTACCGAAAGTGTCCCTGGATTTTTCTATTAAGGATTTGTTTGTTGGGGATTATAGAGTTGGGTAGTTAGGATGTAGTGGTGTGCCTAAAGAACAATATTAGCTTAGGGCTTATTAAGATATTACTATTCAAGCCTTTTAGTGGAACGAACTACAATATATTACACTACGAACTACAATATATTACACTACGAACTACAATATATTACAACAAATAATGCAATAAAACTCATTATATACTAACGGTTGCGTTAAATATTGCTTCACTAACTGGCCATTAAGATTTTACTTTTAAACAATTTTCCATCAACACTCAATAGGTTTCTAAACTTCAAACTTGGAATTTCAAATACGTTTTCGAATTCAGAATTCGTATACGCAAATCCGCCTTGAACAATCCGGTCTAGGCCGATTTAACGTGTGTAGTGTTAGTGCATTCTCTGTGTTCTCTACTATCAGAAACATTAGGGCTGTTTTAGTACATCTATGTATATATTTATTCCATTAAAAGGATAAGCAACCAATTACCTTACCCAAAAATTTTTGCATCATTATCATCATCAACGGCCTATGAATGCCCACTGCTGAGCAAAACTTCTTCTTATACGGAGCAGGTTTGAGTGGTAATCACTAGTTAGCGATTTAAAACTTATAATTAGAAATTATAAGCCCAGGTTACCTCATAATGTTTTGTAATAGTCTTATAAAGTAAAGTATAACTCGACAGAAGTCACATTGTTACTTGTCCCTGGTAGATTTCGAACTCGCACCCTCTTGCATGAGAAGCAGGCGTCTTAAACCTCCGTGCCACCACGACCACAAAACGAACGACCACGAAAAATCATACACAGTTTTGAATATCGGGGTATCTGAGTAGTACAAAGCATTTTGAAATCAATAGTAGTACTTAAAACAGAAGGTTGTAAAATACGTAACCATCGGTTGGGTGCATATGCAATCGATTACTTGACTAACGAGGTTGTAAAAAATGTCATTAGTAACTTGAAATATGGATGTATTGTGTGCTTGTTACAACGGTATATAATGAGCTCTGTATCAGCCGGTCAATCTCAAAGCTTAAATCAAAAATAATACGAAACGAATCGTATATAAGTACGTAACTTTTGTTATTATTTTAACAATGACAACAAATTCATTGTTTAGAATGAAATGTTACAATTATATTGTTATTGACAAACTGAAATATTTGGCTCAAACATACAGCCAAAGATCTGATTACTTAATTAGTCTTCGTTTGTCTCCAAATTAAATAAAAAATAGTGATAGTCGATTTCAATCAGTCAATACCAAATAATAACGACGACACAAACATGTAACAACGTCCTGTACACGATTGTTGAAACGCTCTTTATGAAAATTATAAAACAAATTAAGTCAACCGTTTTTTAAACTTTCGTCATCATCATATCAGACAAAGGACGTCCATTGCTGAACATAGGCCTCCTCCAATGACTTCCATATAGGCCGGTTGGAAGCGACCTGCATCCAGCAGCTCCCTTAAATTAAACTTTTTTATTATTATTAAACTTTAAAAAGTATGAATAACTAGATGAGCTAGACTATATGAAAAGCTCTATTATTATATTAATAATACCTATTGTAATAGAGGGCAACCCTAACCCAAATATAGAAAGTAATTTCCATTGTTCGAAGGTTACAAAGACAACCTCGACAACTTTGTTCCTAGATTTTGTTGAAAGATATCTGATAGTAGACGAAAGGCCATGTTTTAATTAATGAGATTATACTCAAAATGTTCAAGGTGACGGAATTGCGTGCCTTTTGGTACGGATAATGTTCGATAACAATACAAAACGAATAAGTTATTTTAAAATCAAACTAGTGATTATAAGAATTGAGTAATTTTTGCGTTAAATTACGGAATAGGTACAACACTCTAATATTTTAGTTATGAAAAACATTTTATGACAGTAGTTAGGATATTGTAGTTATTTTATTTTTTTAAGAAATTAAAAAATACTGAGTAACAAGCGAATTGTGTCTGTATTTTCATCATAATACGACATATTTAGCTGGCATATCTCAAAAGCAATTTTGGAACTGTCGGTGCTATTTTTAATAAGTTTTTTTAATTTTTGTAAACTAATTTTCCAATCCCGACCCCCCAAAAAGCCAGTAACGCACTTGTAACGCATCTGGGTCCTTAGACAAAGTAACATCGCTTAATAGCGAAACGAAAAGTAAATTCGCCATCGTCTCTGAGATAACGATAAACATTTCCTAGCCAATGTAACACTATGGTCGTGATCGTTGTGTCGAATTCTTTATTCGGCAAAAAACAAAAATATTGGTTATGGTATCGAAAATCCAGCTGTCAGTGACAGTCAAAAAGTTCAAATCGGATAAAATCCGCGAGTTATTGATGTTTTAAAATTTTATTAATAAGAAAGTGAGTGTTGCGTTTAATTGTTTTTAAGTTAAATATAAACGATAATTTTACAGTCGTAAGTGAATAGAGTGTTATTACTTTTAGATCGTTTCCAAAACTTAATGATAATCAAAATAGACTCATTTTTATAAGTGACTGGTGTTCAAACGATGATGGATATCTCTCTATTTCTTATCTATTTTAATATTTAGTGATAAAACATGGAATCAAAAGTGCGAGCAAGTTCTAAACAATTCGCAACGCTGCTCGAGTATATGGAAACGTAAGTAAATCTAAGTTTCATTCATGAGTATGTAATGTAAACAATGACGCGATCTTAACAATGAAGTACCTATATTGAACCGTCGCTGTTTTAACCGTTTTTGGCGCCTCTCCCAGGCGGTCTCATTGTGTGCAGCCCACAATAAACGCAGAGAATGCATATTTTAATCTATTTGATCTGTATTAGTGTATTGCCTCTAACACAAAATAAATACTAACAGGATCAATCAATGTCAAAAATCTGCTGCCGAATGAAATTCGGCCATATTGTTTCAATAACTACAACGTTTTAGCATTCGTTTCGTTATCTTTATTGGCGATCACGATCGAGGCGTTGGCGAACACTGAAAGGTCTGCTTGTCTACGCATTTATATGGAATAAACACGATGACGATTCGTTACTTTATAGTTTCGTTATGAAATATAACATTGTCTACCAAATTGCGATAACGATGCCGATTGACCACGTGACTTAACGCGGCCTATGTCAATCCCATACATTTTAGTCTTAACTAACTTCGTTATCGTTTTTAAGTTGTTACTTTGTCTAAGCGCCCTGGTGGCGACGATTGCTTCCCATCACGTCATCCGTTTGGTCGTTTGCCGGTCTATTTCATTAAAGTAACCATTGGATGGAATATTTGGACATCATCGTATTATCAAGAGTATTCATAAATTATCAGCACCAATATGGTCAGGTACCTACCTAATTGCTTATTATACATTTAGTATTCCTTATTTCTACAATTGTATGAGACAATTTCTACAAACGAGTACTAATATTCCCTTATACTTTGTCTACAGACTCAACCGTACACACATGTAGACGAAAATGGAAGCAGCTTTCGCTCTAGTTTAAAGACACAACCATTTAGGAGGTTCTATTTAAACCCCTTACTTACATTGTCGAAATAGAATTAGTTTGTGTTTCTCCACTCTTAAGCAGCCTTAAGTAGAGTATTTTAATCAGAGTACATTATCGAAATTATATTGGAGTAAGTTAAGTAGATAGTGTGCAATGTTGGGAAGCAATTTTACTAGCAATGGGTAGACTATGATAACTGAAATTTAAAAGTTTCTGTGTAAGAGAGAACTGTTTAAGAAAATATTAATTGGTGAATTTTTTAGGAGTGATAATTATGAAAAAAAATGGAGTTTGCCTTTAAACGATTAAATAAAGTATCTGATAGGCAAGAGTGTAGCTATACTAATACCAAATTAACTAAAGAGTAATTGCAGTAGTAAGAACAAGTAAAAGAGAACTTGAAATAGAAATGAAATACTAAGAAGAAACCAAAGATTTGAATCATCATTAGACCAAAGACAGTGTTGTTTAAAAACAAAGATGAAGAACTTATACTTTAGCTTACTTTGTGACAATTCTTAATACAAATAATACAAAACCAAACGCTATTCATAATAAATAAATACTTATTATAACACAATTATTACCTTATAGAGTGATTCAGGATCAACATTGTGTTCGCAGCGCAGCTTGGCATTGTGGCGGTGCACCACAAAACGTGGCGCATTCAGCTCCACCCACACCTCAGACATGCCTGCCACTGTTAACAATGAAAATTATAATTAATTTCGTTATACATTTGGTTCAAAATTAAAATATAGAAAATATAAAATTAAAATAGATATACATTTTTAAACCTAACAGTTCTAATTGGTAGGTGTATTGAACAAAACACACTTTACAGGATCTGTTTAAAGTTAAATTGAACGACTTTCAGGTTTTTATTTTTGGTGGCATAGATATTATTGAAACGTTATTCCCAAGTTATATACGTTTTATCAATCATTTTGTCAGTAATGCATTTAAATAGAAGCCAATTATACTAAGGACCAATTTTTCATCGACCCTGATGAAACAGCAAACAGGTAAATAGGTTGATAGGTATAATACTTATAGAAATAACAGACAGATGAGACTTTAAAATCGTTTGACTTTTCAAATATATTAATTTGATAAAATCTTACTTATAAAGAAATCGTATATTATAATAAACACATTAACACTTCAAGACTCGCTAATGGGTCTAACGGACCCAGTTGTTTAATTTATTTGTAATAACTTTTAAGATTTGACGTTTGCGATGTTGCCGTTCTTAGTACCTTTCAACAACAGTGTAGCGCTGCAAATGCCGGTCGTATTCGTAAGTTGGCGCCCTGCGAGTGAGTGCTACAGACGTATAAGGTGCGTATGGGTCCTCTGGACCCGGTAGCGACTAAACACGTAAGCGTTCTTTTTCTCATCATAGTATTATTTATAGACTTGTTTTATGTTTATTTCATAGAAAATGGCTTCCAATAGGCCGTTGAGACTTGACGAAACAGAAAACTATGACTATGAATTAGAAATACTATGACTAGAGAATGTTAATGAAGAATAGATGTAGAAACTGGTGAAAAAAAGAAACCGGAAATAATAACCGACTATAACGCTTTGAAATGTGGAGTCGATATAGTTGATCAGACAATTGGTACGTATTCTGTGTCAAGACGAACTCAAAGATGGCCCCTGTGTATATTTTTCGGATTATTGAATATTGGTGGACTAATCACTTATATTATTCAGAAGTATTTTCAGATAACTTCACTCGAAGAGATTTCATCAAAACCTTGGCAATTTCTCTGATTCAACCGCACCTTCATGACAGAATATCATAAACATTCCACATCATATCAAAAACCATATCTGAAATATAATTTGAGAAGTCGAACCACCCGCGGCATCCAACTCATCCTTGCCAATTGCTGGGCGAAAAGTACGTTGCGGTCTTTGCGAATAAATGAAATGAATTTAATTGAAAAAAAGATAGAAAAACCAAATTTTTTTGTATAAAATGCAATATACCTCTAGTCATTTGTAGAGAACGCGTGAAACACGTGTGCTCCAATTGTTTTAGTAAATTAGAAGAAGAAAGAGACTGTTGATTTTGAATTATTATTGTATCCCAAAAAAAGTTATTTGTTGATTTTCAAAGATATTTTTGTTATGTTCTTTTAGTATTGATCTCTTATTGTTAATTGTTCTACGTAGGTATAACATAGTAGTATAAGAAAATATAGAAAGTTATTAATAAAACCACTAATTACAGAAGTTTTCAGGATTAAACTTAATCTTGTCATAAAAACATGCCAAAAAAACGTAATTTTTTGTAAAAACTTGTTTATTAGGAAAACGAAACAAATATTACTATTTGATTCATTATTTGTCTTTGTTTATTATCATATTATCCCTAGTAATAAAGTAGTTTTCACTTTTATTTAGTATTTTTGGAAAAAAAAAATAATATTGTACTGGGTCCAGCGTACCCGGTAGCGAGTATGGGTGTTACAAAATAAGGCGCGAGTCCTTAAGTGTTAAACGTATTACATTCAACATAACATTGCCACGTGCCAAATATTCTCTATTAACTTTGACAATAGACCATTACAAGATAGACACGACTTACAAATAGCTATATTATCTTCTACTTTCCTCGTAAAAGCTTTCTGCTTATATTATAACAACACAAGGCTTTGTCCATTGTCCAGAAATTATTTTTGCCAAATCTTTTACCAACAATATGTTAAGATACCTATTAAAACTAATGATGTGAGTACGTAGTTATGTAAATAACATAACGTAATAATTGTGTATAATATCGTAAAAAAATATTAATATTGAAAATAAAAGGTATACCTATTCTACTGCAAACAATGTACTACTTAAATACAAAAGTTTGTATATCTGTCTGTTTGTTTGGTACTCCTTCACGTCAAAACGGCTGAAAGGATCGGAATAAAATTTGGAACAGGGGTAGATTATAGACTGGAACAACACATAGGTTACTTTTTATTTCACGAGAACAGAACAGAGGCCTTAGTACGAGTTTATTTTACGTTTAAAGTAATCGTAACGAGTATGCGTTCGGCGTTCTGATTGGTTGCTTCATTGGCGCCGGCCAATCAGAGTGCCGAATGCGTACTCGTTTCGAATACTTTAAACTTAAACCAAACTCGTACCCCTCGCCTCTAAAATAAATAAATTTTATTGTAATGGCGATGAGAGTATTGCAAAACACCGAATACAATCATATCTCGGTAACAATGATATAATACATATATATATCGAAATACCCTATAGAAGCTAATCCGATTTAATTTGAAATCACGAGCACACTAATGACTTCGCAACTACTTCATCATACATACGTTACGTTATCCTGCTTACTTCATGAAGCTAGAAAGGTGCATTAAAATATTTTCTCAAAAAATGTAAGCACTGAACATACAAGTGAATGAGGTTCTATCTCTCTTAAGGTAACGAGACATGAAAATTAAGATCACGGCACATGGTGCTAGTTATGTTTCCTGGTATAGTTTTCTCGTAAGTATTAGTGGATATGCTATTATTGTTTGAATTTGGCGTAGGTACTCTATGAATATAACCTAGACTACGTTATGCATATTAATTCGATAGGTTTGTGTCTACTGTTAAACAATAGGATCAATTTAGGTAGAGAACAATTATTAAGAACTTTTGATACCGAAATACAATATAAGTTAACTATTTTTCTTTCTATTTTCTTGACTAGATACTTCAATACATAGTATAAAACAAAGTCGCTTTTGCTGTATGTCCGTATGTATGCTTAGATCTTTAAAACTACGCAACGGATTTTGATGCGGTTTTTTTTAATAGATAGAGTGATTCTTTAGGAAGGTTTGTATGTATAATACATGCATATTGCACCCGTGCGAAGCCGGGGCGGGTCGCTAGTATTATATAAAATACAAATCCAGACTACACGCTACTATGAAAGAGTTCAATTAAAAATTCAAAAGCCTTGTCGCACCAGTAATGAAACAGTTGGTATAGTATTGTTACACGACATAAAATTAGATACCTAGCAAAAAATAATAGCCTGACACACAATATTAAAATAAAGGCAATACACGAGCCGAGCAACGAACAATGTTCCTAATAAAAATCCTTTCATTCTAGCGATCATAAATTGTGTACAAAAGAACGTCTTTAAAACTTTTGTTCCTAAAGGTAGTATGTGACAGGCTTTAGAGCTAGGCTCGACTTTATGATGATCACTTTCCCGTGCCAGCCTACCGTCGCTAAATGACGCTATATTTCACGTCGCCCCCCGAGATCGGGAGCAGTAAAACCGGTGTAAATTTAATCTCTATCTAAATTTCAACCTCTGCTAATCACGATTTTCGTAGGATTGAAGATTATTTCAAGGTAATTCTCGTTTAGCGGTTAATGTATTGATTGGTTGGTGTTTACTGTTCCAGTAGTGAGTTGATGTTGAGATTTATTATGTTCGAATGCGAAGTGATGTTTTAGACTGGTTGAAAAATGAAATTAAAATATCTTATTTAATTGTTTCATCTGACTGACATCAGTCATGAGTCATGACTTTACGTTATTCATGACTTCAGATGAGATATCTACTGGCATAAGAATTTAGAGTATTTAACCAGCCCCCGGACTATAGTCGGCAAGCGTGTGATGGCGTAAAAGAAAAATCCTTTGCTGACAAACTTTAACCGCTTTGAACTACCTACTCGTGAATGGTAAGTGATAGGTTTTTTTTTATTTTTAAGGGGGGAAATCATCGAATGACTGCTCCCGCCTGGGTGAGGCGGGAGGGAGTGTTAGACTCTTACTGTCTAAAAACCACCCCGTTCCTTCTCCTGCACGTCGAGTCGGAGCCCCGGTTACCCGTTAGGTTTTCCGCGACTAAGTGATAGGTTAAGGCTTTGACTGCCGACAGAAAACTGTTGAAGGTAAATCTTCCGCTAGCGTGGCCCATACGTTGTCCCCCATGGCGTTCAAGGTGTTAAATACTCTAAGCATAAAACGGACGGAGGTGATGATGAAATCTAATTAATAAGGTTGCATAAGAATATTAAATAGACAAAAAAATTTAATTTACGAAAACAATTTCTAGTCGTTACAATAACAGAAGAAGACAGTGAAAATAAATATATCATAACTCTAAGCTATTAAAGCGTAGAAAAAACCTTTAACAAAAACTGGTTGGTAGCAGATGGCAGACAGTGGAAGGAAAATTACTTTATCGGATACATTTGTTATACAAGAGATCAGTATTTGTTTTTTCTAGGAATTTTATCCTTATTGATAGAGGTACTATTGAATTGCTGTTATGATTGTTTTGTCAACGTGCTTGTGCGCTCAATATTAAAATTGATTCTATTTATTTTATTTAAGTTATTTGATAAACTACACTTTGTACAAATGGAATACTGAAAAGGCTAGCGAGGACGAAGTTTTCGTATCAAAATCAATTTTATGAAAACTATAAAATTTATATTCATATTTTCTCAACATTTCTTAAGTTAATTAAAAATATAGGTAGGTATATAGCTAGGTATACGTACTAAGTAATTGTATTTATTAAATTGTTATCGATTTCATATCCAATATAGCGGTGTATAAAATCATCAGCTAGAAATTTTCAATTCGAAAACAAAACAAATAAACAACATTATAATTTCGTGCCGCGAATATTATTACGAAAATAAAGAAAAT